AAGATTATTGTTATCATACCATTATCCTCATTATTTGTAATTCTCTACATATTTATAATTATGTAGCAGCAACTTAAGTATTCAATCTCAATACACAAATATTCATTTATGTATCCACATAATTCATACATGAGCAAAATGCCCATTTTCACAAAATAGTTCATTTATACTCATTTAATCTCATATTATTCATACCTTCTCAAATCATTTCAAATTTCATTCCTTGGCAACTATATCAATATTTCATCAATATATAATCATCATAATCCATGAAAAATCATGATTTAAGCATTTAGGTAATCTCATGCTTAACCTACAAGTTGTAAGCAATTAGATGTCAATCCTCACCTCAATTGAGCTTTAAACTTTCCCTTCTTGGTCCAATGGTCAAAGCTTTGGTCAAGGTGGATTTGGAACTGATTCCTTGCTCAAATATGAGTGTTAAACAGCCTCCTCAAAGTGCTAGTTCAACCCTTAATCGTTGATACGAAAACAGCCCCTAGAACGGGTGTTTCCCGGTCAACTCGTTTCCTAGTTTTTCCAAGATTTGTTCTAGGTTAGTATCTAACCTTTACATCAATAAAATAACTTTATAAGGACATATTATACACTTGGATTAGTGTATGATAGTCCCACCAATCGTTCATATCATTTGGAAAATGAAAAGTAAAGTTTTGGGGCTAAAACTCACTTTTAGAAGATCAAATCCTCTCCTGCGAGGTTGTGTTTTGCTCGGACGATTTGGAAGCCTTCCACAACTCCGATTCCTGCAAACCAGACCTTCACGGATTCCTCGTCTTGAGAGCTTTCTGTGGGTATCTCACACGCCTTAATTGGATTTGTAAAACTCGAGATATCGACCAAACAGTCTCAGCACTCCCACAGCTCGAGTTCACAGACCACTGCTCGTTCCAGATCGATTTTTGGATGATTGCTCTCTCTACTCGAACAAAGGCCACTCAATTATGAAACTACACTTCAAAGGCTATCCAAGGACACCTTATACACCTCATTTGGACGAGTACAACTCTCAAAATGAAGGGAGACAAAACACACCCATGATTTGTGCGGAAATAGACAAGGTGGGTCTCAAGGTTGATTCCAATCAAGTCTTGTGCAGCCCTCCTCCAGCTTGTGCGGCCAAGGTAAGTCTCCTCACTTATTTTTCTTGTTTTGCAGGTACTATAATCATGTGGAGTGGTTCCCAATTGATCCCAATTAATTTGGGGTCCAAATTATCTACCAATACTTCCAAAAATGGGGGAAATGGGTCCTATTGTTTTATCTTTGTCAAAAGATGTCTTTTTGCACTCATCCTAATTTATTTAGAACAAGTCAACTTCCTAAATCACATTATTGATCTCCAATATGTGTAGGATCATCCCAATAATTTACATGATGAAAATTATAAAAGAATACGGGTTTGAACAATACAATATTCAATCGCGTACTTCGTAAAATATTAATCGTTTCTTCCATTGCTTTGAAATCGGAAATTCAATACATAAACTTTGAATTTTAAATCAAATTTTCAAGGACCTTCGGGAGCGGTGTCACAGATCGTATACTCGGTCGGGTATGACTAGATTTTAGCACTTTCGTAGCTACTGCCAAAAATATCCGGATGACTTAACAAGATCATTTCTCCTATAAAAACACCACCTCTTTCCCCTCTTTCATATGGACCTTATTCTTGTAATTTAGGTAGTCTTTTAAGCTTAGTTTTGCTATATTTAAGCTTGTGATTAGTAAGTTGTGAGTTATTTCTTTAATCATCCTCTCTTAAATATTAATTATTTCCCTATTCATATTTCATATTGATATTTGAGCATTACTAAGTAATCAATTACTTGATGTTTTCATATTGATTATTACTAGAATCGGTCAATGAATATGCTTGTTATTCACTTGGTCCATTCATAGGTAATATCCTTAGATTACTAATGCATGCATCTTACGGTTAATAAGCTAAGAGGGAGTAATTATATTGATTGAACCAAAAAACTGCTTGTGTTGAAGTTATCAATCTTAATTGATTTTATTAGATGACCAATGGATGAATTAGATTGGATAGCTGGACCTGAGATTATCGTTATGACAGTCGAAAATACACACCTCGGGTTACAAGTTATCGTTTTTAGTTGATTTCAATGAATCGACTTAATGCTACTATTGAGATCAATATATCATGTTTGTTCTATATTGACTAATTAATATATAGTAAGTGTTATTAAAGAACGCATCTCCTTATTACTAATTACCCTTGATGAAATGGACTATGTAATCTGCACAATTAAGTATTCAAATGGAGAGAGTTGAAGTGGTAACAATGATCAACGAGCACTTCACTAAGAGAAAAATAGCAAAACCAATGCCGATTACCTTTGATATTTCATTTAACTCATCTTAGTGTTTTATTTGCTTTTTAAATTATCACAACATTCAAACACCCCTTCCATTTACTTAAATTTCTTACGCTTACACACACGCGAAAACACATTTCTCTGTAGATACGAAATGTACTACGTTATACTATGGTACTAGCTCTTAGTGGTGAATTTATTTTGAGGTACATGATGAATTTAGTGCCGTCAGCCAGATATTACATATGTTGTACACTCAGTTTCCCAATTTATAATGTTCTTCATACTTCACGCGTTTTGACTGTTAAACGTATTTTCAGATAAGTACAAGAAACTTCTAGCCATGGTTTATTTCTTCGACTCTCTGTGGGTCCAGTAGTTATTATTGCCTACTCTGATGCGGATTAGATGTTATCCAAGTAGTAATCGTTTCACATCTAATTATGTTGTTTTTCTTGGTTCTAATCTGGTGGCCTTGTGGTCTAAGAAACAACCTACAAATCTCAAGATATTATTCACATACGTTCCATTTTATATGATAATATCTCTACCTCATATGTGTTCAATGAATCATTATGATCTTGACGTTGAATATTTTCCTACTTAGCTTTAGCTTGCATATATCTTTATGAAGAATATATATATAGGAGGTAACTCTTATATATATATTCTCAATGTTTCAACTTTTTGAAAGGTAATCTGCACGTAGTTCTTCCTACGCAGCTTGGGGTGTAATAATTTAATTTATTATATTTATAATTCCTTCATATATAGGTCAGAAATCTTATCATATAGGATTCTTATGCAACTCAAACTCTAATATTAGCTCCATCCTCCCATTGAGGAGTTGTTTGGTTATGTCAATTTTATTAAAGTCTTACAGTTGACATTTAGAGAAAATATATTTTTTTTTCATGTTTTGTATGTAATATTGGTACCATTAGAAAGATAATAAAAATATTGAACAAATTGAAAAGGTTATAACAATTGCAAAACTAAAAAGTATTGCCATGCCACCTACATGACAGCACAATAGGGGTAGAGGTGAACATGTTAAGACTCGGGGTTCCATCCTAAAAGGTCAACCTGTTAGGAAGAGTAGTCCATGTGTTAATATAGCACTTCGTTCATCCAAACTTTTCCGGTGTGGGACATTTTAACACCACTTCTCATGACCAGACACTTCGTCTTGATCGTGCCTTCATTCATTTTTTTTTCATCGGTCCTTTTTTTTCATCCGGCCGTAATTGTCATTTTTTTTTGTAATCGTGTCATCACGATTCATAAGGGGTCCCACACCATGGATCGATTTGGCTCTGATACCATGTTAAGACTCGGGGTTCCATCCTAAAATGTCAACCTGTTAGGAAGAGTAACTCATGTGTTAATATAGCACTTCGTTCATCCAAACTTTTCCGGTGTGGGACATTTTAACAGAACATCACCCTCTTCAATGAGGGCGAACAAATACATAAGAATTTTATGAAGTCTTATATATATTGAAGTCTTACAATTGTAAGACTTCAATGTATTGTTATGTCAAGTCTTATGATTGTTGAAAAAAATTTGACTTTTTCCAGTAACATTTGAAAAAAAAGACGAAAATTTCCCGCCAACTTTTCTAGCTGCAGATCTGGCCGCGGCTGGGCAGGTGTGGGGGAAGGAATTGGGGCAGAGACTTGATATAAATCACAATGAAAAAAATGAATTAATTAAACAAAATTCAGTTATATTTTAGAAAAAAACGGAAAACGGTCACTTTTTTTATTCCACAAAGCTATAGATAATATTTATATCCTGATTCCTAATACCTATATGAAAAAATTCTATTTATATTACTCTTAAAATTGTGTAGACTAAAATATTACTTACTAAATATTAGTTACCTAATTGTGTTTAAATTTACATCATAGTAATTACATATGAGTTACTACGATGTAAATTGAACACAATTATGATGACTATTACAGTATTACGGAGTCATTATTGTGTAATATTTTTATTCATAACTTTTTGTTAGTAATATTTAAAAAAACTATTTATATTTATATAATAATAGTCACGTCTACCACTTTATTTAAACCTAATGTTATCACACTTTGTGCACATGTCTAGGTTACTTTTATTAGTGTCGTTTAATTAAACCTAGTACTTTCACACTTTTTGTACAAGTCTAGGTTACTCCGTACACATTAAATAAAAATTCCGTACTAATATTTGGGACAAACTCACAAAAGTTGATTTCGTGTCCGGGTCGTTTATTTTCAGACAGAAGTACCAATTTAATCGTTCTCTGATTGAAACTAAAGTCTTCCAGGTCGCCCAATATGTGTACGTACGTACGTGCGCCGTTAATGGGGAGAGTATATTACTCGAAAAATTCTATTTGTATATGAAATTTATACACATTTCACACACATTTGTACGTAATTGTCTATAACTTTCAACAGATGATATTTACATTCCTAGTTGGTTTAGTTGCCCGTGCACACAGACAACTAATGCAACATTATATGTGTGCACATACAATTACGTACAAATATGTATGAAATCTGTACAAATTTCATGTACACCAAAGAATTCTCAATATAAGTCTCACATCTTATTTATATACACACAACATAGGCACCGTACTATGAATGATTTCACATTAGGACAATTTGTATAGTGAGACTTGAGAGTAGTGGCCATGGCAAAAAATGCTAATGACTTAATGGAGTACTTCTTCGAGAATGACCATGAAGGTAATGTCGAGAGTAAATCAAACACGAGTGGTGGTGATGATTATCATGATGATGATGTTCATGGTTATGATGATGATAAAGGTGGAGATGATTTTAGTGAACAAAAGTTGGCTTCCTCTTCCTCTTCTTCTCTATTCTTCTCCCAGCAATGGCCACAAAGTTTCAGGTTTTTGTTCCTGTTATGCGCCCCACAACTGCGCTGCTTTCTATTGTTCAGCTCTGCTTTCTATTGTTTAGCTTTCACTTGTTTACTTTGCTTATTGTGTTTTGGCGTTTTACAATGTTAGCAGCTCAAATAATTGTATGGAAACATATTTATGTGTAGTCATTTTTGTTGATTCTAGTGTCCGTTTTGAATGTCAAAATTTGAAATTTTGTGACTTTTGTTAAGAGATTAAACTCAGATTGAGAGCCCGTTTGGTAACCCATTTTTTTCAGCTTAACAAACTTATCAACCAATTTTTCCCAAATGCGTAACTTTTGATTTCACGCACTGAAATTGTGTAATAATAAGAGAAAGTAGCATTGGAGTTACTTTTCTAGCTGTATTGGATGAAGTTACTGTAGCGGGCCATTTTAGCTATTTTTACATATATTTTTTCTTTGTTTTATTAATAAAATATAATTTAAGTACAACTTTTCCATAAACAAGCAGAATCAGTCAATTCAGCCACTTCATTCAGCAGAATCAACCAATTTCGCCGATTTTGGTATTACCAAACGAGCTCTGAATAAGTATAAGCTAACTGCTGCAATAGGAGTGAAGTGCAAAAATAGGAGTTAGTGTTTAAAACTCTCCAAATATGAGTTTTTTTCATGCTTAGATAAAGATACCCTCCAGAGTTGGATCTACCCTGCAGAGTTGGATTAGCCCCGCCGAAGCTGCCTCCGCTGTTCGATCTGCGCCACTTCATGTCGCCGCCTCCGGTCGCCGCCATCATCGACGCACTGACTTTTATTATGCAAATGAGTCAATGTCAATTAATTATACTCCGTAATAATTAAAATAATTGCTCATAATAGGAGTAAAACATGCTCCTTTTTCCTAAATAGGAGTTTATGCTATATAAGTCTATGTTGTAAAAACCGGACCGGGAATTGACCCGGACGAATGATCGGGTCACGGCTTAACCCGGACCCGGCGGGTCAACCCGATCTACGCCTGAAAACCCCGTCAACTTTTATATACAATTTTAATATACATTCATCATATGATAAAATAATTAATATATTCATATATGATAAAATAATTTTTGGGTTAATGGCCCAACCAGGGGTCGGCCCATTATCCCCTTAATGAAGAGCACCAAGGCCCAACCGGAAAGGAGCACCAGACACTCGTCTCCAGGTTGTGAAGCCCACCCAGGGCAGTTATCCGCAATGATCTAAGGCCCCAGACGACGTTTGTTTCTTCTGAGGACGATCGGGAGGCGGGGCCTTAACCAATAAGGCTATCCAATGCACTCCAACATCTATAACTAGAGGACGCACAGAGGACGCTCGGTGCCATGCCCTTACCCCAGGGAAGAAGGGAACCCAGCGTGCTGAGACGATCGTCCACGAACCTTGGCGGGAAATCAAGATATTGGCGGGAGGCGCATTTAATGTTGAAGATTTGGTGGTTGGGACCTAGCCAGCCACATCCCTCCACGTCAGTGGATCTACCTACCCCTTGGTAGTATAAATAGTACTACGTAGCATTTATTTCATTGTAAAAGGTTGGCAACTTATTCTCCCTAGCATTCTAGCTTTAATCTCAACTCTACCCTAACGAGATAGACGATCGGCCTCAGGTCAGGTAGCAATAGTGTGTTGTATACGAACCCTTATTATCAATTAATAACATACGGCCCACTGCTACAGACATACCAACACATCTTACTTTCTTGCACTTCATAACTTCATACACTCTCCACTCAAAATCCTTGGGTTACGTGTCAGACCCCCGGATTGAAGGAATAAACCTCAACAATTATATACCATTTTATATACATATATTAATATACTCAAAATAATTAAAATATTTATTCCTCACTATGATAAAATAATAATAATATTTAGTCAGCAACTTCTTTATATTTAAAATTGTTATTAGATATTTTTTTAGTTTTAAAATATTTGAATATTTCAATATAGTATTGAAAAAACCCTTAAAAACTTTTTAATACTTAATATTCCAATATATTCACACATTCATCATATTCTAAAATATAATTTTAGGCCTATTTGAATCAATAGTAGTATTTAATATTTACTTTATACATCCATAAAATATTTACATTTTATTTTCTATCTATAGTAAATATTTAAATATATAGCAAACTTTGTCTTAAGACAATTTGAAAAATTACACTTATTAATAAATGTTAAATATATTTTGTAAGCATTTTAATTTATATTTGATTTTTATATACTACCTTTGTCCCTCTTAATCTCTTATATTGGGACGGAAGAGGGTGGCACGATTATTAAGAAAAGTGAGTTTGTGTGGTTGATAAAGTAAGAATATAGTAAGAATGATTTAGAACCCCACAAACTTTACCAAATATGGTATGAGACAATTTTAGTGAGATTTCCCGAAAAGGTAAAACGAGACAATATATGAGGGACAATAATAATTATTTATTAATAAGATAGGACAATAATAAAAGCAATATGTATTACTACATTATATATTAATTATATATTGATTATGCTTATTGTCCAAAAAAACAGCCATGTTAACATACTCACTAATATGAAATACCTTAAGACATGGGCGGGTCTGCCTTAGGTCCAGGGAGGGCCTAGGCCCACACTAAAAAAAACTTACTAGTATATATATGTATAATATATAGCGCTTTATAGAAAGTGTATAAAGATAGGAAAAGTCAAAATGTAACTACAAGCTACTTGGTTGAGATGGAAGCACACTTGTTTTAATTTGTTTTAAGGATTTCATTTCCCCCCTCCGAATCTCTTTTCCCACGGGCCATACTGCAATACCGGATTCTTACTTCAAACATTTTTCTATTTTCACATGATCTCCATCAATTTTACAAGCTTAACATCAATATCAAGTTTTAACCCTTTAATTATTTTGGTCTTTATATTGTCATTCTTTCAGCTTTATATCTTTATATAATTCTAATTTTTGTATTCACATGAAAATCATTAAAGAATAGTTGTAAATTTGAGGTGTTTTTTCTTTAACATTTGTTTTTTTCTTTGACATTTTTGTTGCAACATACGTAGTATGTTATTTTATATACTACGTATGAAAAAAAATGTTAAGTACAGTGTACATAATATTTTACTACATTTTGATGTTTTTTTATTTAGTTAAATTTTGGCCCCACCTGAACATCAGTGCTGGATCTGCCCCTGCCTTAAGAGCCTTGAGTTTCAAAAATATGCATTCGTAATTTGGATTGCGCCATAATCTCTCTCACCGGTCTTCAGGGAAGGAGTTTTGAAAAAACTGGATTCCGGATTGTTCGCGTTTTCCAGTTACCAAGCGGTCCGGATTATGTCCGGGTCCTGGTTGCTGGGTTTTTCTGGTTTTTGTGGGGTCAAATGCATAAATAGTACTTTAACTATTGATAATGTTGCATTTTGGTACTTTAACTCTTAAATGAATCAAAATGTACTTTAACTATACATAAACGTTTCAAATTGAAATTTTATTCAAATTTTTAACCAAAAAAGTCCTTCATGACGATCAAAATTTCATGTGTAGAGTCACCCTATAGTGATCATATGGACAAATATAAGGTGAAGTAGACTTTACGCATAGAATTCTGACCGCCGCGTGTAATTTTTTGGTCGGAAATTTAAATATAATCTCAATTCGAAACATTTATGTATAATTAAGGTACCGCTTTGATTCATTTAAGCGTTAAGGTACCAAAATGCAACACTACCGATATAATAGTTGAGGTATCATTTATGCATTTAACCCGTTTTTGTGGTATTTGCAGGTTAATTGATAACCGAACCGGGAAAAGGGCCGGTTTGCCGGTTTCGGGGTCGACCCGCCTGGTCCGGTTCGTTTATTAAACATAGATATAAGTAGGCTTATTATACAAAACAAATCCAGCGTTTGGGCGTAATGACTAAATTAGTCTATCGCTTGGAAGCATAATTATCTCATATCGATGTTGTAGATATAACTACATTAGTCTAACAGTTGTTGATATTTCAATTGATTCTTGTCATTATAGATGTATTCTATACATCGAGATATTAGAGAGAGCAAGGTCGGTGCTCTGAGCAGATTTGGAGTGTAGATGATACGTAGTATAGTTTTCTTAATAAAATAAAGGGAAAATCGCATTTTTAGTCCCTGAAATAGTCACGAAAATGAAATGTCGGACCCATATTTATGATATTGTAAATGTCACCCCTCAATTGTCCAAAATGTTGTAAATGTGGTCCTTTAAGGGGTGAAATGTGCTCTCATCCACATTGTATATTTCACCCCTAAAAGGACCACATTTACAACATTTATGACAATTGAAGGACGACATTTACAAACTTGGGAATACGGGTCCGACATTTCATTTTCGTGACTATTTCAGGGACTAAAAGTGCGATTTTCTCTAAAATAAATAAAATCAATAATGACACATTCACACGTTGACCAAATCAATAATGAATGTTTTTAAATAATTATGAATAAAGTAAGAGGGATCATAGTTTTGTCTTGAGTATTTAAACGATGATTCTTTTATATAAAAATATATACAATAGACTAATTTGATCAATAACCCCAACCGGGATTTTTTTTGTGTAATAAGCCAATAAGTATATATTTTCGACTAAACATTAAATTTCTACCCTTAATCTAGTTATATAATTTAATTAATTGTCCTCCTAGTTTCCTTGCATAAGCAAGTCGGTCTTTTGCTGGCCGAGCTCCGGTGGCCGGCAGAGGTGGCGTCAGGCTAGTTGAGACTAGTTGCAAATGAAATCTGGAGATTTTCGGTGGCGGCGGATTCCGGCGACCAGTGGCAGATTGGGCAGCGGCGGCAGGTTGGTGGCGAATGAATTCTGGAGAATTTCAGCTGCTTTGTATTCCGGCGAGTAGTGGTAAATTGGGCGGCGGCGGCGGTGGCAATGTCAAGGTAGTGGCGGTTAAATTCTGGATATTTTCCGGCGGTGGCAAATTTCCCAGGACGACGCAGCCGGAGGCAATGTTGTGGTTGGACCAAACCCTGCAAGGGTATCCTTGTCCAAGCATGAAAAAGTCTTCTATTTGGAGAATTTTCAAAAGGGAAAATCACACTTTTAGTCCCTGAAATAGTCCTCATATTGAAATGTGAGACCCGTGTTCCCAAGTTTGTAAATGTCACCCCTCAATTGTCCAAAATGTTGTAAATGTGATCCTTTAAGAGGTGAAATGTACAATGTGAGAGAAGAGTACATTTCACCCATCAAAGGATCACATTTACAACAATTTGGACAATTGACCGGTGACATTTACCATCTCTTAAATATGAGTCTGACATTTTAATATGGTGACTATTTCAGGGACTAAACGTGCGATTTTCCCTTTTCAAAACCTATTTCTATGTTTACACTTCTTCCGTGTTTTACTCCAATTGAGGGAATTTTTTTTATTAATTTATTAGATTGGAAGTAGAAAGGTAATGTTAAGTCCTATTTAAGAAATACGCAGTAGTAAGCATGATATGATACTCCTATTTAGGTCAATTACTTGCCTATCAAGTCTTGAACTGTTGATGGAAAGAGTGATATGAGAGGTTCTAAAGTTTAAACAAGCAATTCAGTACCCTTAAAACTCCTCAAAGCAGGCAAATTTCAAGATTAATGTAATAAAAGGGAGCTTCTAGATTCATGATATTTATGCATTCATATTCAGGACCATGCTTAGGATTAATCAAACTTCTTGTCCTTGGTTCAAAGTCATTGCTGCTACCTTGTGCCTCATTCCCTACATTTTATGATTTCTAGGGAAACAAGTGACTCATTCACAATTGCTGCACCACCAAACGTAGGCCTTTTGAGGCGTGGATCGAGCTCCACAGTTTCACCTTATGATACCAATAAAAGGTTTCTTAACTCTGATGAAAAGACACTTTTTCTCTCTGGAGCTTCTGTTCATGAAAAACTCACGGGGGAGCATCCTCTTAGCCACGGATGTAGCTTCACACAAACGGTAATAAATGGTAAGTCAGTCAAGAGTAGACGGTAATATCTTTCAAAAGTAAGTATATGATTCTGCATTCTCATATCAGTCTCTAATAACTTCTGGTTTAGGGCTCAATGTGATGGCTGGAGTTGGGCTTCTTTCTACTCCTTTCACTATAAAAGAAGCTGGCTGGGCTAGCATTGTGGTTTTGGTTTTTTTTGCTGTTACTTGTTGCTATACCGCGTCTCTTATGAAGCATTGTTTTGAGAGCAGAGATGGCGTGGCAACTTATCCTGACATGGGTGAGGCCGCGTTCGGAAGATATGGACGCATTATCACATCTGTAAGTTCTATAATATTCAACTAGATTTGAATGGACATGGATTAGCTAGTATAGCTCATTACCTTATAAACGGATGTGTTTCTTTTTCATATTTCGATGTGTAACTCAAGCTTAATAGAATCCATAAACTGTATCTTTCAAAAAAAAAGAATCCCTAAACTGCAAAGCCGAAAATCTATTGATGCAGTAAAGAATAATATTACTTCTTCTGTTCATTTATCTTGACTAGTGTAACAATGTTACCATTCAAACAGCCTGTTTTTTTTTTATTTAGCTGACATTATGATGCATTTGCTTTTTGTACAGATGCTTTTGTTTACAGAATTATATGTAAGTGAATATTGCATTCAGTTTAGCGCTTCTTAGCATGAATGTTATCTCTTAAAGGTATTATTTTGTACTATTTTAGACATACTGTGTAGAGTTTATCATATTGGAGGGAGATAATCTCACAACTTTATTTCCTGGAGCTTCCTTCAACTGGAAGGGTCTAAATCTGGATTCTACACATTTATTTGGACTTCTAACTGCTCTGATAGTTCTACCAACCCTCTTTTTAAGGGATGTTCGGTTCATATCATATCTTTCAGGTGCACCTGTCGATTTCCCTTTTCTGCATCGTTAAGGGTATGTTTGGACCAAGGAAAATCTGGTGAAATTTGTCAAGGGAATAGGTGTACTTATGTTTAGTAGTACCTTGTAAAGGGCAATGGGAAATGAGACATGATCATTTTAAACAAAAGTGCATATATTTAGTCTTCTAATAGTCGACATAATCAAATTTCTCTATGTTTTCATTTGTATGATCACTCCCTGGTATTTTCATTTCAGGATTACAAACAGACCTTGAAAGTGTAGTTCTTGGCATTATTAGCTAATAAGATACTTAATAATTTCTTCATGCTGCAGCCTGTGGTGTTGTTGCAACTATAGCAATTGTAGTTTCTGTAGCGTTACTCAGTGCTGTAGAAGGAATTGGAACGCCCCGAACAGGTCACTTGGTGAATTGGAGTGGCATCCCATTTGCTATTGGTGTGTACGGATTTTGTTATTCTGGACATTCTGTCTTCCCGAATATCTACCGATCAATGGCCAACAAAAAACAATTCACTAAGGCAATGATCATATGGTATGGAATCTAGTTTCATTTAGACACTAAGAAGCACCCTATTAGCAAAATTGATATAATTCACATCGGTCCGTAGTTAATCTCGTTTAAGAGATAGATTTCCTCATCGTATTGCCTGGGTTCTAACTTCTCAGCTTGAGGCTCATATGCCAATTCTTATATGTTGTTTCGGTTTTGGGGCTATAAAAATAATGCTGGATCTTGTCATGCAGCTTTATTTTGTGTGTTGCACTATATGGGAGTGTGGCAGTAATGGGATATCTATTATACGGTCAGAGCACGCTGTCTCAGATCACTCTGAATATGTCGCCTGATTCTATTCCTGCAAAGATTGCTGTGTGGACAACGGCAAGTGTTTGGCTACTACATAACTACATTCCTTTCTTTATTAGCCTAGACACATATGCCTTTTCTGGTTATTTTATATGCTTGTTGTTGTTTCTGTTATGTTCAACAGGTTATCAACCCTCTCACAAAATATGCACTTATGATGAATCCATTGGCTAGAGCCTTGGAGGAGTTGCTGCCAGAGAGAATCTCAAGAAGCTTCCTGTGTTTTATTATGCTAAGGACACTACTTCTCATTTCAACTGTTTGTGTTGCATTTCTTCTTCCTTTCTTTGGTATGTATCTTGTCCCCAACCAAAATTTCTTTTGATTTTGTGCCATACATTAAAGGAAACAGTACAAATGATTAATTTGACTTAACTTGAAAGGTGCTACAAATATTTAAGTTTCACAATGCACCCTCAAATGATTGGTCTCTTAATAAGGCTTAAGAGTTAAGAGTAAGAATAGTATTTTAGACATTCAAAATCTCAGTCATGCCAATAGAAGCGTTTAATGTAGAAAATTTATGTGAACTTCAAAGTCTTCATGTGCTTCTATACCTTAGTTCTTAATATGAGTATGCGGACTTCAACTAAGCACCTTCACGTTCCATTAGTGACATAGCTATGAGAGAAAATATGGGTGAACTCTACAAGAGAAATATTTCTATTTTTTTTCATAAAAACTAATACAAATGAAAGGAATGGTCTTTACTGAATTTGGGCTACACCCATGCATGCCATAACACGAAGAGTTACTCGTGTTGCAGGCCTTGTGATGGCTTTAATCGGCTCTCTTCTCAGTATATTACTGGTAAGCACATCTCCAAAACTATCATTATCTTAAATCCCAAGTATGATAGGGTCAGGTTCATGAAAATAATTGTGTTAACTATGCTTTCATGGGGATAATATTATGTTGCCAGTGTCTGGAAAGGCTTGTGAAGTTATACTTGCTCCAAGTCTACTCAAATACTTGGTCTATAAATCTCTATGAGATGAGCTGAATGTTTTTTTACCCAATGCTGGTGTTATTACTTCAGGCGGTTATAGTTCCGAGTGTGTGTTTTCTGAAGATCATGGGTAAGACAGTTACAAACACACAGGTAATTAAGACAACTGCAACTTTGCTTGAAAGTTGCATATACATGTTTTTCTGTTGCTAGTCTATAACATCATCTAAAATGTTTTTACTAGTTAATTACAGTACTGTATGTGATGTTATGCTTTTATATTATTATGGAAAAATTTCACCTTTTGTCTTTCGACTACAATGTTTTTTCCAATTTTATCATCATCTTTAAAATCAACCACTTTTTATACTCCATACTCTGCAAATTAAAAGGCACCTGCTTTTCATATTAGGATGAGGTTGTTGTGACCTTAAAGTCAATTTTCTAAGAGATAATAATGAACATCTTAACTGAAATAGTATCATGTCTTCTCATTATGGTAGACCCTGATCTTAGTAAAGAAAAAAGGTTTTACTTTTTCTTATGTGGCACCCAAGAGAAAGTGACTTATGGATTCAGGGTGTTTGCAATTGATTCCGCTTTTGCTTCTTTTTTAAAAGCGGAATCACTCAAACACTTTAAAGGGGTAGAAGCAGTTTTCAGAAGTAGATTCAAACATCCCTCAAAAGCACTGCTTGCTTTAAACATTTTGTTTTATTGTTTAAACCTCTATCCGTTAATCCAAAGGATGGACCCAGACCAGTTCGAGTCCAGCTCTTGTTACAGACATGCTGGTTCCTTCTCCCCCACCCACTAGAACCGAGACTGAGGTTGGGAACTTCAAAACCAGTTCCAGTCCATTTACTCGCGATCCAATTCCATTCTTTTAGCCAAGGATGGGAAGCGAACCCGTGTTGGACTGGTTTTGGACATCGGTTCTAGTGTAAAATAGCTGTCTGGTTCTAGTCCAGTTTCAGAACTTCATATCAGTCCACCCCTAGTTTATCCTAGTTGCATTACATGTGACATTTTGTTCACCTAAATTCGATAACATATGATCAAATTTAGCCCTCCTATTGACACGATAAGATGAATATGTAACCCTGATGCAGGGCAAAAATTTAAGTGTTCAATAATCAGAGTATTAAAAAAAACTAATTTTGTTGACATTTTCTTCACCCAAATCTTTTTTGGCTGCAGAGGGCTACTAGTATTGCAGTAGTGATTGTGGGCATCATATGTGCAGCTCTGGGGACATACTCCTCTGTCTCAAATATAGTAAAGCAATATTGATTGGAAGATATTAGAAAAGTTGCAATTGTGTTTTCCGTTTTCCTATCAATGGCTCTCACCTTATGTAATAATCAGGGCCGTCTAATGAATTTGGAGGCCCCGGTTCAAAATGTAAAAGCGGGGCCCCAAGTTAATATAAAAAATTATATGGGGCCCCTTCAATCGAAATATTTATACTCAAATCAATGGAATACTCATTAAAAGAGAACTAAAAGAGTAAAATGACTAACGAAAAAATGATGTATCTATATTAATATTAATATAATTACTAATAATTTTTTAAAATATGGGGCCCCTTAAATCTGGGGGCCCTGTTCTGGATAACCTATTAAACCCCCTAAAAAACGGCCCTGGTAATAATAGATGGCTAGATCCATCATTATTGTCCAACTTACAAAAATAAAAGTTAAACCTCCCCCCCTATGGAGGTCTATTAAAAGTATTATTGAAGTAAAAATTATTTACAATAGTTAGTGTCCTATAATCTTAATCACTTGTGTAAAAATTGAATTTGAGCTATTATGACGAAATACGTACTATAAGTCTATAATCACTATAGGAAATCATATATTGTGTCAACCACATTTATTTTAGCCATGCATATGTATTATTTCTTTTATCTATATAGTAAACTATTAGGCTGTAAAAAATTACTAGTATTGTACCCGTGCGATGCACGGGATTAATTATTTTGCATATTAAAAAGCAAATTTATTGACCTATTACATGTATCATAAATATACACATAAACATAATAGTAATCTTGTTAACAAAATTATACTACGTATCAGTTACTTTTCTTGGTAGTTCAGGATGGTTAACAACATTTTTAATGCGTGTTTATAAAGAAAGTTAAAATCCTTTATTTGGATTACTAAAGAATTTCTTATACCACATTATTTACATCTCAATTACATGCACTCGAAAGAGTATTTAAAACATGGGGAATGTAGATGCAGTTAAATAATTGTGTAACTCATATTTTCAATATTTATATGCTTTTGTTGGAACACTTGTTGTGAGTACATTTAACTCATATAGTATATGTTTAAAAATTGGGTGATAGAGTTTTAATATATCAAAGATGTTTTATCTTCAATATATGTATTGAAGACACAAAATACTAATGAACATGACTACTGATACAAATCGTATATGAATCAAAGTTGATATGAACAAAAAGTAAAAGCAGACCACAAAGCACCAATTGCTTTAAAAGTACAACATATGAAGTCATAATAATTCAAATTTGGAATTTTCACTTATCTAGAATACTTAACTATGAGTTGAATTGAAAGTGTTATGTTTGTTTCCTAACATTATCAAAATTTAATTTCAAAACGAACACCACACACAATATACATGTATAGCATCGATCAAGCATTTAAGCCAAATGTTACTCTAAACAGAGTAATTAATAGTCCATTAAAAGACCAAACAAAAATAAACATTAGAATTTGCTACAACATCTAAGGAGCTCATTTATAATTTGGGAAAATGGAAACTAATAATCCAACCTTTTAGCAGTCTTTTTACAATAGTCTTACTTTTTCATTATTAAAAAATAATCCAACATTTGCACCTCATCTTCATTTGTTGGTCCCTGACCGGTTAATGACCTGCTATTTCAAGTTATTTTCTTATCTTTGCAAAATATTATCTTTGTGAAAGATGAGATTTATGGTATAATTGTTTGCAAAGATAAGAAAATAACTTGGAATAGCAGGTCATCAACCGGTCAGGGACCCGTGAATGAAGATGTGGTGCAAAGGTTGGATTATTCATAAATAACAAAAAGGTGGAATTATTGTAAGAAGACCGCTAAAAGGTTGGATTATTAGTTTCCATTTTCTCTATTTTCAAACATGCATTTCTAATTAAAATTAAGCATCTCAAAGATAAAAACTGAAATTACAGCCTGGAGAATAGTACTTCATAGTATTAGGTTCCAATAAAAAAGGCTGCTTTCACGTTTGCATAATAAGTAGAAATTGTTCTAAATAGGAGTAAACACTTTTTGAAATTCCAATAGGACTTTCATGTTTTTATCTTTAAATAGGAGTAATTTTGTCAAGTTTGGAAAAAAATGTCATGTTTAAAACCTAGTAATGCCAAATTTGATAGAAATTTACTCATATTTAGGGAATAAAAAACATGATAGTTCTATTTTGGAATTTCAAAAACTTTTTACTCCTATTTAGGGAATTCTCACAATAATAAGTTGCTTATTCAATTGGGAGCTGTTTTAATTAATTTTTTATGCAATTTTTTCTTCAAAATTTATGAAATGGTCGTATTAATTGTAATCTCCGTATAAAATTTATATATTCCCATAAGAGTCCTATTAGGTATTGACTATTGAACAAATAGCCAACCGTAAACAATTGAATCCTATTTTCATGTGTAAATGGTTTGGGATAAGACGGTAAGCTAAATATTCATAAGTTGAAATTAATTAAATGGTTTTAAAATATTAACAATATTGTTTTTCGTTGTTGACCAATAATAGAGTGACATGTCAGCTTTGTATAACTGTGTTTTACTATATAAAACAATTGATAATAGACAGAATTTTTTTTTTATTATTATATATATGATAATGATCTCATATGAAAGATCATAAAAAATATTAAATTTGATATATTTTTTTATTATAATTGGATTAAAAATGTAAAAATTATTTCATTTTTAAAACGAGATATTTTTTCTCCTTCCATTGCTCCATATCAGCCGTGTGATTTAAGGGAGTGAATAGTACTCATCAAATGTAAATTAATTAATTGTTTTCAATTGTATTGTAGTGACATGACGAGCACTTTGTCGTAGTGTGCTTCAAATTAAATTCACTACTAAGGGCTAATACCGTAGTATAGCGTAGTAGAGTTCGTATCCACAGGGAAAGGAGCTTTTCGCGTATGTGTAAGCGTAATAAATAAAAGGAAACGGAAGAGGGAATTGGATATTTTGATAATTGAGAAAGCAAATAAAATACTTAAATGAGTGAAATAAAATATCAAAGGTAATTAGTCTTGGTTTTGCTTTTATCCACTTAATGAAATGTTCGTCGATCCCGGTTATATCTTTAACTATCTTCCTCTCGAATACTCAATCGAGGAGTATATCCAGTTCATCGAGGGTAGTTATTAATAACGAGACGCGTTCATTAATAAAACTTACTACCGAGTTAATATAGAACACACGCCGTATATTAACCCGATAGTAGCAATAAAATCAAGATGAAAACGATTGAGATTGATAACATCAACACAAGCGGTTTATCGGTTTAATCAATATAATTAATAATTAATTCTCCTTCAGTTATTAACCATGAGACGCATGCATTAACAACCCAAGTTTACTACCGTGAAAGGACCGAATTAATAACAAACGTATTAATCGATCGATTCTAGTAATAATTAATATATGAAACAAAACTTAGTTGATCTTTCAAGTAATGCTCAAAATATGATTTGAAAGCAAGTGAACATGGGAAAATTTGATTATGTCTTAGACCCAACCACCTCACTTCTCCTATAAAAACACCCATTTCCTTCCTATTTTAGATACCAATTAATCCCCTCTTTCATATACATTTTATTCTTGTAATTTAGGTAGTCTTTTGATCTTGGTTTTGCTACTTTGAAGCTTAATGAATTGTAAGTTGTGAGTTATTTTCTTTAATCTTCTTCCTTGAATATTAATTAATTCTTATTCCTATTTCATATTAATATTTTGAGCATTACTTGAAAGATCAACTAAGTTTTGTTTCATATATTAATTATTACTAGAATCGATCGATTAATACGCTTGTTATTAATTCCGTCCTTTCACGGTAGTAAACTTGGGTTGTTAATGCATGCGTCTCATGGTTAATAACTGAAGGAGAATTAATTATTAATTATATTGATTAAACCGATAAACCGCTTGTGTTGATGTTATCAATCTCAATCGTTTTCATCTTGATTTTATTGCTACTATCGGGTTAATATACGGCGTGTGTTCTATATTAACTCGGTAGTAAGTTTTATTAATGAACGCGTCTCGTTATTAATAACTACCCTCGATGAACTGGATATACTCCTCGATTGAGTATTCGAGAGGAAGATAGTTAAAGATATAACCGGGATCGACGAACATTTCATTAAGTGGATAAAAGCAAAACCAAGACTAATTACCTTTGATATTTTATTTCACTCATTTAAGTATTTTATTTGCTTTCTCAATTATCAAAATATCCAATTCCCCCTTCCGTTTACTTTTATTTATTACGCTTACACATACGCGAAAAGCTCCTTTCCCTGTGGATACGAACTCTACTACGCTATAATACGGTATTAGCCCTTAGTAGTGAATTTAATTTGAAGCACACTACGACAAAGTGCTCGTCAAATTTGGCGCCGTTGCCGGGGAAAGTCTACACTTTTTAACTGTGTGTTTGTGTAATTTTGTTTTTAATTTTCTTTTATGTTTTTTCATTTACCTTGAATAAATTGAAAAGAGCGGGTACACACTTTGATCCTCTACTCCACCCCAAATCCATATTCCCAATTTAACTCCATTTGTCAGTAAGATGAAATAAAAATGAGGAGCTAGGATGAAAACCCGAAAAGGACTCCTAGGCAAAATGAGAGAAAGCGAATTAAATTTTGATTTTTGCAGGAGAAAATTTCGTGTGTAAGTTCAAACAATTTTTGGTGACTCGGTATGAATCCTTTGCTCAAAATTGTCTCTAAAAATTTCTACAACTGATTGGAGAAAAAACTCCATGTAACATGATCAAAACATTTTTGGTGACTCGGTATGAATCCTTTGCTCAAAATTTGTAATATGATCAAAACATTTTTGGTGACTCGGTATGAATCCTTTGCTCAAAATTGTCAACTAATATGATCAAAACAACTTCTCCTTGAATCTAATACAATCAAAATAGTCTTCTCGTTTCTTCTAGAATATATTTTAATCAACATGAACTATAGAAGTAACCAACAAAAAAACCTATTGAGTATACAAACTACCCTTTAGATGTTGTAAGAAACTAAGAAATACACAATTAGGATTTGCTTTCAATGGATTTAGTGGTTTTTCTATGCTCAATGAACACTCCCGCTACAATTATGGTTTAAAGTCTTAGCCCAAGGATAGAAGATATTAAGGAAAAAGAACTATACCTAAAAGAAAGATATGAATATGGATTAAAGTATAAAAACTGCATTTTCACCACTTCTAATCTTAAAGTTTTATAATCAAGGTCTAAAGTGAAAGAAAAAAATTGCATTTAGTTAACAACAATTAACATGTTACATAAAAAAATGGATTTTATAAAGGGAAAAACTCCATTTTTAACTAAAGATATATATAAACTAAACTAAATTGTATAACCATTATTTTCACTCCTCAAATTAAACTTATAGTTCTCACTGTTTATCATAATTAAAGAACTAACTTAAAAAGAAGATTCTTTTCACTTCTTACTGGATAGTTTAAATAGACCCAAACTCGGGTGTAAAAAATTATATATCGGCCTGATTATATCGAGCCTTGTTTCGGCTTGAAGTTTTTATCACCTAATCTACTACGTGTTATTTCTAGGTCAAGTTAAAACACGTCCGGGCCTGAGCTAAGAGTTATATTTACATATACTCCATAATTGATGAGACTAAGAGTTTAAGAGCAAAAGCCAGCATTCTAGCAACGATATATGGAGTCGCAATTAAGACAGATCAGTTTGATTATAAAAATCCAACAGACTATACATGTGATTGAACTTTATAACTATATATATATGAAGATTAAACCCATGAGGATTCAAGAGACAGATATGTGCCCATTGGTGAGACAATGTTTTAGAAAATGGAGAGAATGGTATACGGAAGGCTTAAGATATTTGTTGGATGTTGTATAAAAATTGTGATGGAAGAACTCACAGTCAAATCACAACAGTGAGGTAGCCGCTAATGCAAGCGGAACACCAACTGAGGTAATCATAATCATATCATACCTGTGATCCTTCAGAACTTGTTTTCAATAAGCTTCTCTCGACTCTGATGGGTGTTTTTCACTCTGTCGTACCTAATACCACAAGACACATCTAATTAAATACACACCTTGATGACCCCAGCCCCTTGAGCCTCATATGATCTTATTATGTGAACATCCATGAGTATATAACAACATTCCAACTTTATAGTGCTGTAAAGATCTAAAATGAACTTTAAAAGTATTTCAATCAGAAAAATCTCATGAATCATGAATATATGTATATTCATATTCATAAAGGACTAATACATTAACTCAGTAAAATGAGACAAAAAAATCCGCTACTTTTTATTAAATTTTTAGTGAAGGAAAGACTCATTCTACAAAACTTTTCTTCCAAACAACCATAGAATAGAATAAGATACAGGTCATAGAACTCTATTGCTTAACCTGATAAAAGAATATAATAGGAACCAAGAACAGCAAAACAAAAGATTATACAGGTCAAAGAAATGTAAAATAAAAAATAAAAACCGAGTTATTCATTCACCTGTAGGTTGTAAAATGTAGTCCAGATAAGTGGAATCACCCTCCATCAACTTTATAGTATGTCA